AGAAAAAAAATAAATTAAGATTTTGTCTTAGTTTATTTTTATTTTTATTGGCTATACTAGAAATAAATAAGTAAACAATGTATACAGAAAACAAAAAAAGGAGCACTGTGTAATATATAACGATAGCGCTGTGGCCCCAGCTAAGGAGACAAGCGAGCTGCAGTGAAGGCAAACATATGGGGTAGGAGTTTACCCACAGCAGGTGACCTCGCTCCCCTCTCTGCATGCGTGCTGGGCGTTGGGAGCAAGGCCTGGGTGTTGCGGGGAGGGGGCAGCCTGAGTGGACTTGCAGCGCACCTCGCTGCAGCTGGTGAGATGTAAGCAGCCAGGCTCACACAACAGGCAAGCTTCACTGCATGCGTTACCTCTGTATACAGTTATAAAGCCCTTGTATTCATTCGGGGGCAAACTACCAAGGCCAAGTGAATGCTCTTTTGCTACCTGTAGGCAGACCAAGCTACATGCAACACATTAGCACTTACATGCATTTATTTATGCTTTATGGTGCGGAAGAAATTAAATATATATAAAATTTTAATGTGTGCATATATAGAGAAGCAAAGATGCAAACAAAGCTTATTGGGATTACTTGTGAGGCAAGATTGTATCAGTAGTTGCAGCGAAGTGCGGGCGCTGTTCGGATGCATCGTCTCCCACAACCCCAGCCCCCGAGCTGCTGCACCCAGTATCTCTGGAGAGAGGGACGGGGGTTCTCTGCTTTTATATTACATCTACATTAAGTTTTCTTAAACTTTTAGTCCTTATTGTAGCTCACCACATTCCCCCAACGAGATCGAGGACTCGGGTTATGCAGTGTGGCCTGCCTGCAGTTAGCACAAAAACATATAGGTGGCCAACTCTACGGCTCCATCTGTGCCTCAATTAGGCCGTAAAGCTCGCATTCCACTTGGTAGCACCGCATGGTTCGCCCAGCCATGTGCGAGCAACGAACCCCACCTTGCAGGTGGCCTCGTATATAACTGAAAAACAAACTATTATTCTTTCCTTAACCAAAATCTTTATGAAATTTTAGCCGTTTCCTGTCAGCTCCATGGAGACTTACCAAGATTTTTCAGCATGCGTGGGGGTTACGCAAGGTATGGAGCCTCGCTGAGTATAGGCAAGCTCGATATCGATACCCAATTCGGGGGCAACAGCAAATTCGCCGAAACCAATTCAGGAGAAATGCCTCCAACTGTACCGAGCATCGCGATATGACGGCCACCGGGACGCTAAAGCGGTGGAGCAGCTCGTCGGTTCGCTTGACCTATACCTACGTCTTCCAAATGAATCGCTTGAAGTACAACTGCTACTGGCACCGTCTCTCTTAGGAGCGAATGCCCGAAATTTGCGGTTACAGATAAACAAAGGGTTCCTCTTTCCCAGAGCAGATCATAAACCCTAAACACCAGCAACGGCAAATGTAGATAAAACGCTACGTTGAGCAGTTCTATTGCTTGGTGAGCAGCAGTGCGCCAGTGGACCCCGAACGCAGCTATTAATGGTTTATCTCTGGGCTGCCTTCCCTTGAGAGAAAGCTGGTAACTGGACGGGCCGGAGCGAGCGAACGAAGGGGATAATGGGTCGAACTTGCTGGCATGGTGGGGTACTTTTCTATAAGCGAAAGAAATGATGCTAACTCAAAGGAATATATATACTCACAAAAATTGGTAGAGGTCCCCAATCTCAACTATAGAATGTCTCCTCAGGATAGCCACTGTAGTTATTATGTTTTCACAAGCTAAGTTACATACAAGACCGCAAACGTGTCATTCCCTAAAAGAGACGTAAACAGATAATGGCAAGGCCTTAGGGGCCAGAGAGGACGAGATCACAGCCGATGCTCACAGCACTGATAGTAATAATATTACTATAAGAAATAAACGCCATACTAGCAGCCCTAGTAATTGTTCGAACTGTGCTAAGCCTGCTGCGCCTAAAGATAGCGTAGACGTACACCGGGAACGGTGCCACCAAAGGTAACCATAGCCGCGTTTTAAATAGGGTACCTATTGATGTTCCATCTCTTTGTTTATGCGGTTCGGCTTGGCCGTTCGCCAAAGTTTGGCTGACCGAATTAGGTGGGACTTGAAAACAAGACTAAATGGCCT